CTGCCTTTTCCACCCTCAAATCCAGCTGTGTTGCGTGTTGGTGCCGAAGAGGGTTGGAGAGGTAGCATTAAATAGTTATTTAGGGATGTTAATAACATGCTTAAAATGTTTCCATCAAGTGCTTTTGGATGGTGCGATGCCATCTGTGTTACAGTTGATTTAGTTAATTATACAGGCATGAATTCCTTGGGAAAAGAGATGGCATTGCTCTAACAGTTTGTTTGAGAGCAAGATAACAGAGTGACACAATATTAAACTGATGGAATTAGTCTGAAATATATTCCTTGCTAATAATCCTCCCCAAAGCACTGGAATTATGCTGAGCTGCTCCATTTTAACAGAGAATTTGGATAGGTGTGCTATTGCAGTGTTATTGCAATAACTCCAGTGGATTTTTGTACCTTAAATATTGGGGATTATCTGAGAAAAAAGAAAAATAAGCTTCCTACATACTCGACTCTGGTTTTAATTAATTATAGCTCTTTCTGGAAATTAGCCATAGGAGATGTAAAATTAAACAGGTGTCGTGCTTTAAAATGTACCTGCTGGGATTTAGCAGCAATTGTGTCTGACAGTACTGGAATTCACAGAATCTCCTGAGTTGAAAGGGACCCACAAGGACCATCCAGTCCAACTCCTTGCCCTGCCTATGACACCCCAACAATCCCACCCTGTCCCTGAGAGCATTGTCCAAACATTCCTTGACCTCTGGCAGCCTTGAGGCTGTGACCACTGCCCTGGGGGGCCTGTTCAGTGCCCAACCACCCTCTGGGGAAAGAACGTTTTCCTGAAATCCAGTGTAACCCTCCCCTAGCACAGCTCCAGCTCTTCCCTATAAACTATTAACTAGTCACATGCTTGACACCCAATTGTTATTTGCATAAAAACAAAAACCCCCAAACCAAACCAAACAAACAAACCCCACCAAACAAACAAACAAACTCCAAAAAAACCCAGAGGATGGGATTTAGACCCATGTGTGTGACCAAACAGGAAACTACAGACACAAGGTGTCTGCAGAGAGGAGTCTGCGTGAACTACAAATGTAGAGGTTGCAAAGGTCAGGGTTTTGCTAAGGGTTTGTAAACATGATCCACCCATCAATGAGTTAAAGCCAACAATGGTTGAAGGATTAATCTTTGAGGAAAAATTCAGGTCAGTCAGGATTTGACATGTGTCTGTTACAGCTGCTGCTGGAATTGATCTAATCCTCGGCAGAACTTTGGCTAGACTTCCATCTGCAGGGACTCAGTACTAGATATCAGGGTTTGGGGGGGAGAGGGGCATTGGTTTTGATTTAAAGCAGATATTATTTCATCAAGGATAGGTTTCAGAGCTTATTTCACACTGGGAAATGTTGGTTGGTTGGTTTTTTTTCCTTATGGAAATGGAGATTTGCTTTAAAGCAGCTGACTGATGGTAATGGATTACGTTACCTTTGCAGTGTGGGGAGCCTAAACCTTTCTCAGCAAAAGCATGGACAAGTCAGATATGGCTCTTTGGAATCTGGGTTAAGTTACCAACATTGATTGTATTTTTAAAAATAACCAGGATTTTATCAAACTAGTCTCAATTCAATCATTAAACAGCAGAAGCAAAAAATCCTCCTGGGATGTCCAGGGAAGGGAAAGGAGCTGGGGAAGGGTCTGGAGCACCAGGAGCAGCTGAGAGAGCGGGAGGGGCTCAGCCTGGAGAAAAGGAGGCTCAGGGGAGACCTTCTCACTCTCTGCAACTCCCTGACAGGAGGGGGGAGCCAGGGGGGTCAGACTCTGCTCCCAGGGAACAAGGGACAGGATGAGAGGAAATGGCCTCAAGCTGTGCCAGGGGAGGTTCAAGTTGGACATCAGGAGGAATTTCTTCCTGGAAAGAGTGGTCAGGCATTGGAAGGGGCTGCACAGGGAGCTGGTGGAGTCTCCATCCCTGGAGGTGTCCCAGGAAGGACTGGAGGTGGCACTCAGTGCTCTGGGCTGGGTGACAAGGTGGGGATTGGGCACAGGTTGGACTTGATGGGCTGGGAGTCCTTTTCCATCCTCGGTGATTCTGGGATTCTGTGATTCTCTGTATGCAGGAAATACACAGCATAACCCTGGGTACAGGACAATACAGGCCTTGGCAGTTGTTTCTTGATCTCAGCTACCAGTTTACTCTGTTTTCCATGTAATTTCCAACAGGTTTTCTTCTCGTGTTGCAGCTGAGCGAATGATACACTATTTGTGACAAATGTTTGTACAAAAAAACCCCAAGGTACAAATCCAGCACTGAATGTGATTGCATTGGCTTAGCATGAAATTCTGTTTCAGAGGAAAACTCATTTTCTTGCATTCAGATCTATAGGCTGCTGCAATCCTAAATGGAACATGGAGATTACTCGTAGGAGGAAGCGGGAACTCGCCCATAAACAATATTACATTTTCTTTCTATTATAATAGTTTGAGGTTCACCAGAGGCTCAACAAGGTTTGTCTAAACTAATTAATTAGAACAATTTGTCAGAAATAGAAAACATCAGTGCTCAGGGGCTGTGGCAGACCTTGGAAATGTGCAGTATTTGTAAGAACAGCATGTTGCTTAAGCTACGTTTTGTTTAAAATATTGGTACCCTGGGTAGGGATTTATTCATTTATTGTTAAGTGCAGTGAAACATTGATTTCAGAAACTACTACCTAGAAAACACATTTTCCAATTAGCCTTGATGTTTGAATTACAAGTCAGGAGGCAAAGGGAACTCTGAGCCCAGCTCAAGGCAGCTCTGATGCATTATTGATGCTGTTTTCAATATCAAACACACCAGGAAGAAGATGCATAATCTATTCTACCAGAATCAAAAATATGAGGACCTTTCTGTTTTATTAAGGTGATGTGTCTGATAGATGCCCCTTCTATGTAACTCATTGGAAAAATTGGGGAAAAATCCAAAGGCAGGTGACTTTTTCTAGGGGATGACTCCTCTACCCAGTGCTGTGGTGAGGAGTCCCAGCCAGCTGCTCTGTTCCCTGTAGGGACTGGGCTTGTTGAGTGTCTGGGCTCAGTTTTGGCCCCTTGGCCTCCTGGGCTCCCTGTGTGTCACCTGGAGCCAGCACAGAGCCTGAGCAACCAGGTTTGTGTTCCCTGATAAACGTCTCCTTGCTGCACACACGTATCAGCACAGTGATGGTGGCCCAGAAATGTTTTTGTGGCATGTTTTCCTCCCAGTATTTGGCAGAAATGTTGTTTCAAGCCCGGCATTTGTGCAGCAGTCTCAGATGGCTCTTCCACCCGGGGCCTCCCCGGCAGACACGGCTGCTCTGGGCCACAGGACCAGCAGTGCTGGAGTACAAACAGTGACTGTCGTGGTGCCCAACAATGACACTTGTCCCACTGCACACACAGAAGGTCCTGGGTGTCACTAGAAGCTGTCTGACTCTGTCCAGTCCAATTTTGCATTATTATCCCTGGCAGTAACAACCCTGTGTGCATTAAATGGACCAATGACTCCAGACCATGTAAACTACAGAATCCTGAGTTCTCTGGGGAAATCTCATTAAGGCTTCAGCATTCCAGTCTGGAAGATGTTTCCAGTGTTGGTTCCCGAGAGAATCTGTGGCTGCCCCATCCCTGGAAGTATCCAAGGCCAGGTTGGACGGGGCTTGGAGCAGCCTGGGATAGTGGAAAGTGTCCCTGCCCATGGCAGGGGGTGGGACTGGATGAGCTTTATGGTCCCTTCCCACCCAAACCAGTCTGGGATCCTCTGACTTTCTTGATAATATTTCAGTTCTTCTTTAAAGGTTTTGGGGACCTGCTTGGAGCAAACGGGGCTGTACAAACCTTTCTTCTTTGAAATAAGCCAACCCTTCTACATTTTGTCTTTCAGTAGAGAAGAATCAGGTTTAGGCAGCTGCTTGACATGAACTGTACCAAATCATACAATTAGGCCTTGGTAACATTTAAACAAAATTAAAAAGCTTAAAAACTGGAAGCGTGAGGACATGTGGTTCTACAAATCAACCTCAGACAGCATTCTCACCAAGTGAACTGTGCTCCACAGTATCAGTTCCTCAGTTTTATTCTCTGTAAGCAAGCAAGCAAAAATTCTCACAGCCTTTGTCTGTCAAAAGGAATCCTGATTGCAATTATTCTCACAAATCCCTATACCATTCAAATTGTGATTTGTCTGCCATTCAAGTGGAAGCAGTTAAAGCTCGTAGTGCACTGCTCGTTTCCTCAGGTTGTGAGATAACCTGGCTCACCACTGCTTCTGCCATTACAGGAGATCACTGAAGAAAAGAATTGTAAAGTGCACAAAGGCCTCACTCATCGCAGCAGGTAGAGCCCTGTGCCTGTGGCTATAGGCTGCCCCATTTTTATATCAATAAAGAAAGAGGGTTTAAAGCTCCATTGTAGATCACTGGTGCGTTGTGTCTGCTTGCACAAAGCAGCAAGAATATTAAATGCAAAGAACGTCTGCTCCTGTTACAGGTTTTTCAGGCAACATCTTTAAAATTTAATTTATTTCTATTTCTTTGCCCAACCAAACATGTTTCTTTTTATAGACACTTCTAGGCTACGAAGTCAACTATCAGCCTGAGAAGCAGCAGAACTGAGACTGTACCACTTTGATTTGGACAATTAGTATCAGAAATGTTATTTTATTCCTTTACTTGTTTCTCTTAAGTCTCAGCCTTCCCACTGTCCCTCTGACCCAGTACAGATATGTAGTAACTGCCTGTCCTACATGATTTTTCCAGTTCTCAGCGGCTTTGCCCTGTGCCTCCCAAACTCCACCCCCTCTCCCAGATGCTCTCAGGCTTCTCCCAGCTCTGTATCCCATTTATATATCCCTGGAGCAGCTGCCTTCCTTGGCTCTTTTCTCCTTAATAGATTCAGGATTTTGCTCTTAGAATTCAAATCAGAGTAGCGTTGTTGTTATTGTTATTGTTATTATTATTATTATTATTATTATTATTCTATTATTCCGTAGTTGCTATTTTACTATTATCATTGATTGTTATTTTCTCCTTACAGCTGCCCTGACCTGTGAAGCCCCTTCACTCGTGCTCCGACAGGGAACGGTGCTGCTCCATTGTGGTTTTGACCATGAGTCATGAGGAATAAACCAAAGCACTGAAGGTCATCGTCCAAGGAAATTGTTATCCACATTAACAAGATTAGAATAAAAAAGGTTGGAAACATTCTCCCAAATTTGAGCTTTTTCTATGGAATTTTGTAATATAACAATCCTGTGATTCCATGATTTTATGATTCTATGAAAATAGTTTTCCCGGGGGTTGCTGTCTCCAGGCCTTGACGGTGCCAGGGGATGGTGTGTGGACATCCCTCATGAACATTCCATATCCTTTGCACTGTGTGACTTCCAGTGCAGATGAAAGGATGAAACACACCCTGACAAGAGGATGTAGGGGTTGGGCTCTTCTCTCACAAGTGACAGGACAAGAGGAAATGGCATCAAGTTGCACCAGGGCAGGTTTAGGTTGGCTATTAGGGAAAATTCCATCACCAGAAGGTTTGTCCAGCCCTGGCACAGCTGCCCAGGGCTGTGGTGGAGTCCCCATCCCTGAAGGGATTTAAAAGCTGTGTGGATGTGGCACTTGGGGACACAGGTTAGGGTTAGGGTTATTATCCATGGTTAACCATAGGGTTATTATCCAAGGCTATTATCCATGGCCTTGGCAGAGCTGGGGCAGTGGTTGGACTCTAAGGGCTCAGAAGGCTTTTCCAGCCTGAACAAATCTGTGATTCCATACTGAATGCAGGGAGGAGCCCCTTCAGCTGGCTGCCCTGTCCCTCATGCATGTGGAAGTGCCTCGTGTGTGTGGTGGTGTCCCATCCCCGCCCACCCCTCTCTCTGGCGGTGCTGTGTGACTGTGCTCTCCCTTTTCCAGGCACAGGAAGATGTAGTGTTCCGGCGGGAGGCGCAGGAGCCGGAGCGAGTGCTGGGCCAGGGGCTCCAGGCGGGATTGCCCTCCCTGCCACGGCCTCACCATGTCCAAGAAGGGCTCCAGCAGCCGGGCCAGAGGGGACAAGCCGGACGCCTTGGCCGCCCTGCAGGCTGCCAATGAGGAGCTCAGGGCCAAGCTCACTGACATCCAGATAGAGCTCCAGCAGGAAAAGAGTAAGGTGTGCAGCTTCCCTTTCCTTCCCCCAGCAATCTCAGTGTAGTCTGTTATTTCTGACCACTCTCTGCCCCACTCATGGCTGCTTTATACATTTGCATCATCATGAGGCATTGTAGACTATGAATCCAACATATATATATATATATATATATGATATAAAAATAAAAGATCTGTTAATCCTTTTGATGCGAAGCAGCATTTGCAGTTTTAAGGCTGAGGACTCTCTTTTCCTTCTCTCTGTTCTCCCCCACCACTTCTGGTCATGGCTGCTTTAGAATTTATGTCATGGTTTTAAATTGAAACATCATCTGAGCCCTGTGTGCTCAGGTACAGTCAGTTATTTGCACTGAATAACTCATTGCTTAGAAAGCATCTAGTAAAATGCAGCTGCTTGGGGTTTCACGGGAGCTTTGTGTGTCTTCCCTGTGCACATGTGCTCTGTGCAGGTTGGGTCTCTGTGCCTGACAAGCCAAAATGGTGATTTGGCATCTGATTTCTCATGTATTCCATTGGTGATGTGGTGTGAGAGCTTCTGCAGACTAAAGTAAGGACTCAGCCTTACTCACAAGATACTGCCTGGTTCCTAGATGTGTATTATCTCACACGTTAATCTGTTTGTAGCACCTGGTATACCCATGTCAGCCCAGTTTCTGAGCATACACTTCCTCCAGTGTTTGGATGTGGGTGGTTTGGTCACGTGGGTTCTCTCCTTCTTGCATAAATTTGTGCTAATTATTTATATTGTGTACCACATGCTTTCTAGAGCACTAAATTGGGTGAACTAAAGAGTCCATAAGATTGCAAGGGATAATTTTTTAATACTGAAGATAGAATAAGATGCTAAAATCTGCATTGATACCTGGGGTCTCAGCCTCAGTATCAATAATTTGCAAAATGATAATTATATATTTTTGTTTCTTTTTCTAAATATGCAGATATTTCTGTTTATGCTGGTATCCAGTGAAAGGGCTTTGCTATGAATCTGTAGACACAGACATACAGCATTGAACTCTGACATTGTAAAGTGACCTGTATAATTTTTAAATAATATAATGGTTTGTACTAATCATTTTTTTGATTGACAGTAGAGTACTTTCTGCTTTTCCTTGTAGGTCAGCAAGTTGGAAAGAGAGAAAAACCAGGAAGTGAAGCAGATCAAGGAGCACGAACAGCACAAAAGCACCGTGGTGGTCACAGAGCTCAAAGTCAAACTGCATGAGGACAAAATGAAGGAGCTCCAAGCTGTTCGAGAAGCACTTCTGAGACAGCACGAAGCTGAACTGCTCAGAGTAATAAAAATTAAGGACAATGAAATCCAGAGACTGCAGACCCTGCTCAACGCCGTGCGCGATGGGGGTCCCGACAAGGTGAAAACGGTGCTGCTCTCGGAGGCCAAGGAGGAGGCCAAGAGGGGCTTTGAGGTGGAGAAAATCAAAATGCAGCAGGAGATTTCTGAGCTGAAGGGGGCTAAGAAACAAGTGGAGGAGGCTCTAACCATGGTCATCCAAGCTGACAAAATCAAAGCAGCGGAGATCAGGAGTGTGTATCACCTGCACCAGGAGGAAATCACCAGGATCAAGAGGGAGTGCGAGAGAGAGATTCGTAGACTGGTACGTGTTGCTCTTTTCATCTGTGGTTCAACTTATGTTATTGATAGTCAGGAAATGATCAGTGCTGGACTCAGCTGAGGGGATAAGGATGGGTGTTGAAAATTTGGAACTTGCTTCAAACCTGTTTTACATTTACTAGTAGAAATGTTGAACTGTTTTTTAAAACTATCAGGATGTTTCGTAAGGAACCTCTCTATCTATGTCAGTGCTTGTTAATGTTGTTCACATTTCAGCCATCAGGAAGAGCTCTCAGATTTCTGACTGCTTAGGGGAATGCTACAGAAGAGTTATGTTTCTGGGTCTAGGCCTTTATTTCCTAACCAAGTGTTGCTTGGTCCCTCCCTTTCCCTGCCTTTGCTAGTTCCCGTGAACATCCCATAATGAGCCCTACAGAAACCCAAAATGCTCTTCTTCTGCGTCCCTGAGTCCTACATACCCAGCAAGGCATTCAGGGGGAATTCCTCTCCATACCCACCTTGGTGGCTTTCCCCTGGACAGGGGCTGGTTCTCCTGCCTGACTCCACAGGCTCCTGATCCCAGCAGGTCCCTGGGATCCTCATCTTCCCTGCTCCCCTGATCCTCACAGGTCCTTTGTGTGGGGCTGCTCAGCCTGCACTCACCTAATCCAGCTTTGGAGCCTCGGGTGCAACAACTCCTGTCTCAAAGGCAAGAGCTTCACTCTTGTGTTTTGTGCTCCTCCAGCATGTTTGGAAACTGGCTGGGGAGATTGAAATGGATCATGGTCCTTGGAAAAGGGAGGAGCTTCCTGCAGGAGGGAGCTCCCTCACAGGGAGCCTGTGCATGAGAGCCAGGCAGGCCACCAGCACCTCCTGGGGTTCAGGGTGGTTTATTCTCCACTGCTGTCTCAGACTCTTGCCTTGGGATTCCCATCTTGTGAGTGCACAGGGAGTGTATCCCTGAACTGCCTCTGCCTTTCCCAAGGACCTGGGAAGACAGCCATGCTCCCATCGTGTGTATTTTGGGTCTTGTCTCAGTATTTCTGTGATGTCACCATCGTTCTGTGTTTGCCACACAGTGTCCTGGTGCAAACTCATCCATGTTTCTCCTAAGCCATTGATCCTAGGCTATTATCCAAATCCTAAAAAACAATTAATAATGCTCAAACAGCTTGCAGCCTGGCCCCAAATCAAAGCCTGTCAGTGTGGCCTTGCTGCAGGGACCACCTGGAAGAACCTCCTACCCATCCCAGGGCTGGAACAGCGTCACCCGTGTCCTGATGACCCAAAGAGCCTGGCAGGGACTGACACACCACTAGTAGAGTGTTTCCTACCTTTATTTAGCCACCACGTCTCTCAGACTTTAGGTTGTTAAGTTTTTTTCATAGATTATTTTATTTTTATGAAGAGAGGATGTTAAAATAATTTGTAACCAACTGATCTGTTGATGCTGTTCAAATATCCTGCAGAGTAAGTCCCTTCCTCTAACCATTCATCGCTGGTGCATTTATTTCATACATCCCAGTGAAGGGGTGGCTAATGGACATCCTAAATAAACTTGCTGCATCACATGGAAAGTCCCCACTAATGGCCCTTAATGGAGAAGCTGTTAAATAAATATGGTCTTAGTTATAAGGAATAGAGTGGTTTGGTGGTATGTTTTCTAAATTGCCTTTGAAAATCAAACTTTTTTTTTAATTCCTGCTAGAAAGAATGAGATTAGTTAAACTGCACTAATGAAATTACCTGATACCATGGTTTCACCAAACCCTGAGTGCTTCCTGGATGGCTTCAAGTACTCTCAGCTCCATTGACTCAACCAGAAATAATTTCAGTGTGGACTGGTGGCTCCTGGCACCTTGCAGGGAGGGCCCTGATGTTTGGGGGAAAGGCTGGTGCTGCCTCATGCGATAAAAGCTCTCTGTGAAAATGAAGCAATTCCCAAAATACTTCAACTATCACTGGAAACCAGTGTTTCCTTTCTTTTCAGAGAGGACCCAGCCATAAAGTGCAGTCCTTGAGCCTTAGTGGGATTGCGGTGAGGCAGAGACACACAGGGGAGCTGAAGCTGAGCAGGTCCATCCATCCCACAGAGCTCTGGAATCACACCTGCATCCCATGCCACTTGCAGCTGAGGGGCCAGCCCTGAGCTGCCCAAGGATTCAGCTCAGGGTTTAAAAGCATCATGGTTTGTGTACAATGCATTATTTAGTTGTTTTAATCAAGGAGGGAGTAGCCTTTGGGCGAATTTTAATTTCATGCCTAGGAAAAGAGTTATTTTTTAGTTTAGTCAGAGTAGAGAAAAACGAGTTGTGCTCGTCTGGGTTTGGCTTTGCAATGGTGTGAAGCCCTTTAGCACAAGGTTGTTTTTGAAGTGATTGATGTCTGATATGTTCAGTTCTTCATTTCCAAGTCATAGAATCACAGAATATTTAAGCTGGAAAAGACCTCCAAGATCACTGAGTCCAACCTGTGACCAATCAAAAAGACCTTCTTGCTCTCTGCAACTCCCTGACAGGAGAGGGGAGCCAGGTGAGGGTTGGGTTCTGCTCCCAGGGAACAAGGGACAGGACAAGAAGAAACGGCCTCAAGCTGTGCCAGAGATGGTTCAGGTTGGACATCAGGAGGAATTTCCTCCTGGAAAAGGTGTTCAGGCATTGGAAGGGGCTGCCCAGGGAAGTGGTGGAGTCCCCGTCCCTGGAGGTGTCCAAGGAAGGACTGGAGGTGGCACTCAGTGCTCTGGGCTGGATGACAAGGTGGGGATTGGGCACAGGGTGGACTCGATGGTCTGGGAGGGCTTTTCCAGCCCAAATGATTCTGTGATTCTGAGTATTTACCAAATAAAAATCCCAGCTCTTTACTGTAGTTATTTTCAGGTTCAGGGTGACTGTTACTCATGGATCCAATGGCTTTGGACCAGTCCCATGTGGGAGGGCTGAGCATCTTTCAGCACTGTGGACAGCACAGGAAAGGGAATAATATATTTCTCCAAAATGTGTGTTCAGGCTGTTCTGGGCTCGTGTTGTGTGTTTGCACATATGGCTCGTGCTGTTTGTGTCTGTACAGTCTGAGCGTGAGGCTCCCCGGAGACGTTCAACTAACCCAGTTGAGCTGTCCCTGGCTCAGAACGTTCAGCAATGGTGCTGCAAGAGATGAAATTCCCTTGCAGATGGTAACGAGGACGTGTGGAACAGCCTCCTTTCGAGAGAATTTCTAATTTTAGTAAACCAGTTTTAAATTTCAATTTGTGCATTTTAAACCAGCCTAAAATACTACGTGGATGTATTTAATTACATTTGTATGCTCAGGAGCACTCCCTGAGTTAGTGTGTGCACCGCCAGGGGAGGCAGCTTTCAGTCAAGAGGGTTCCCTGTGATCAGTTGGCCTCGAAGTTTGCTTGATGGGAACCAAAATTCAATGTGGTGGAAAGCATTTAAATTTAAATTAGCTGTAGATTGGTCAGGAAGGAGAAGTTCTGCACAGCCATGGCCACTGCAGCCTCCTTCCTCCTGGCTCCTTTACCAGGGTACTGAGAAATCAGAAAAACTGAGTGAATTAGATTTATTAGAGGCTGAGTAGTGATTATTTTCAATTTAGATAAACTTTAGCTGATGATGACTACAAAAAGCTTTAATAACTTTCTCCATTACCTCTGTAAGACCACTGTTCATTGAGATCTTCACGGGTTCCTCATGGCAGTACCATCTCATAGCCAAAGAGAAGATGGAGGTTTTCTGCACCATTCTGAAACTCTGTGTTCTCAGACAGAGACCCTGAGCTCCCTGTCAGACAGTGATAAATTAGTGAAGATGTCTGATTTAAAGGGTGGGATCAGAGGAAAGGGTAGGAAGCTGACTTTTTAAATATTAATTTTATCAGTGATTGATTTAGTCTTTATCTTCTCCTTTTGATTCCCTCATGTGGTGAGAAATCCCCATATTTGGTATTATAAAGGTGGCTCAGCACTCACCTACACTGCAGGTGCACACAGCATTCAAGGGGAGTCATTCATTCTGCCAACTGGGCATTTTTTAGTCATTTGTGATTTGACCCTCGTTTCCAACAGTATTTTTTCCGACTAAAACCCGGACTGGAGGATTTTGTTGTATATTAAAAGCCAGACAACATTTCTCCTACACTTAACAAGGTCAATGAACCTCCTAGTTCTGAGTCATTCCTTTGGTGTCTCACAGGCCAGAGTTTAAAAAACATTTTTCTCTGTGATCCTCCTCTCTTCTGAGCTGTAGCTGTGGTGCTGTGCCACAACACACCTGGCACAGGGCTTGGACTGGGGCCTCTGGAAGAGCTTGGAAGCTGCTGGCACTGGACATGGGGTTTCTGCCTCCAGAGGGTCTGGGACACCCCACACTTCATTCATGGCAGTGACCAGTGGCACTGGATGGTTCCACTGGGGGTTGGACGAAGATGAGCTTTTGGGTCCCTCTAAACCCAAGCCAAGATTCTGAGTGAGTCTGGCTGCTGCTGGGTGACAGGTCCCACCACGAGGCGGTGGGGGTTATCTCTAGGGAGGGAAGGTGGACGAGCAGGGCGTGTGTCCCCTGTGCCTGAATGCCCTCTCTCAGGGGTGTCACCCCCAAGAGCCACCCATCTCCTCTCACCTGGGCACCTCATCACCCAGCCACCAGTCCCATCTGGGGACCAGGCTGGGGACAGGTCTCCTCATGTGTCCTAGCTGCCAGCTCTGACACTGGGAATTGTGTCTGTCATGGAGCAGCTCCAGCTGGACAGGGATTCCCCTCTGCGAGTGCCCCCTGCCCGGTGGGACTGGCTTTGATCCCAGGCACTGGGAGCTTCAAAGGCCATTTCTGACAGCATCTGTCAGTTTGCAAAGGCCCCAGGAACATTGCAGGGAGAAATTCCCCAAGCAGGAACTACACATTGGGTTTGAATCAGGATAGAAATGATACGTTTGAAAGAGCCACGGCCTAAAGCCATCCGAGGGTCGGGCTGTGCCTGGTGTGCGCTGGGGAGCACGAGGAGGGAACAGCAGATTTCACCTTGCAGGGGCTGTATTTGTGTAATTGGCATCAGCTGTGCTCACGGCTGGGTATGAATTAGCATAGAGCATAAATATTCATCCCAGCCTCTGGAATAAAGTGGGAATATCTGCAGCGCAGGGTGTCTCGCAGGTGGTTGGATGCTCCTGCATGCTGACGCCCCTTCCCAAGCCCTTCCCAAGCCCTTCCCAAGCACCCAAGCCATCAGGCAGGGGTGGGAGCAGGGAGAGGAGCCCCAGAGTGTCCCCGGTCCAGCACCAGCGCAGAATGAGGCCGGGCTGGGCGCCCACCCCGGGCAACCGACACCAATTCCAGTGAGTTCCGAGGGGTCTCTTGTCTGTACATGTCCTTAATTTTATTAATGACTGGATGCCGTTTTCCAGGGAAATGCTTCCTTCCATTTGTGCTGTTTCTGCAACATTTGTGTTTAGTAACGGGCTGCAAACACCAAACTGTTGTGAATGTTTCACATATGGGAATTTAATGATATGAAGGAAAATGGGAATGCTGATGTTTCCTTGTGGTTTGTGATTTTGTTTAGGGTTTGCTTTTTTTTTTTCCTGGACAACAAACCATTAGTGAAATGCTGTGAAATGTTTTGTGTTTTCTCCAGTTTCTTTGTTCCTCCCGATTTCATGTGTTGCCTTTGTTGTAACGTGTCTTTGTTTTCATATAAATAGGGATCAACTAGCCAGTATTCTGCTTATTTCGGCAAATAATCATTTGATGATGTGTTCCCTTGTCATCTGTACATCTGTTTAGATTTCTCCCTGATTAGGCATTTAGCAGAAGGACCTCAGGTGCTCAGGAGACATCTCTTTGTTTCATTCAAAGTTAGCAGGCACTACCTTCATGGACATTGTTGAAAGTCTGTGATACCCGAAATACATTTCCTCAGCTCCACTTGACTCTCCTGATACCTGTGTGACCTGCCAGCACCTGCTTTTCTCTTGGCTGGGCCATATTGGTATCCAAAAAGTCCTTGGAGTGACTATTGATCCCCAATGTAATTTTTTTCCAAGTTTACAGACAAAGCAGAGATAAAAGTATTAACACAATTCTCACAAGGCAAAATGTGCTTATTTCAAACAGGCCAGGTTTAAAAGGGGATTATTTAAATTAAATGTCTAAAGTCTCAAAAACTGATGCTAAAAATCTTGTGTTTATGGTGTCTGAAACCAGCTCACAGACACCTGAGGGGATGGATGTGATTTCTTTCTTTCCAAAGAATCAGTGTCTGTACCACATGTAGTGTGTGAGCATAATTAATGCTTTACATCCATGTTTAATGTTATGTCTGTGATCCAGCTGGGAAGAGCCACAGATCCTGCTGCAGTGGGTGCAGCAGCACAGGCACCCAAGGCAATTTGGGCTGGGATTAGGGATTTTCCATAATTAGACAGGGCCCAACCACCCTTCACAAGGGTTGTATCCTGGCTGATCCCATGGGATGTGCACAGCCCCTCAGCACAGGCAAACAGGGAAAAAGAGAATTAGAGGTCACTGGACATTTGTCATTTAAGCACTTAATGATTTTGCATGTTTATTATGTATAAGCAAAACCTCTCATAAGAAGGGAATGATTAAATGGCTCACATGAGAGACTTCTGGGGAAAAAATTTTAAAAATTACATTTCTTCTATATTTTGCAAATAAAAGGATATTCACATTTTAGTATTTTTCTTTTAAAATTATGAATTCAAAATTTCCAAAGGTGATGCCCAAGAAAAATGCTGCAAAATCATTAAAATGTTCGAATGAGCCAATCAAACTGTGATGTGAATGTTAAGTTTTAATTTTTTTTTTAAGGTATCCTGAAATGGTGATAAGAGCATGGGGTATTTCTGAATCACTTTAATGACAAAATTCCTGCCGAAAAAGAGATTTCCCTCTGGGTTGTCCCAGCAGAAGGGAGGTGTTCCTGAAGTGATCGAGCCTGATGTTCACTGTCCAGTGTCCATGTTCTGGCTCCCGGGAGCGGTGCTGTGTTTCCGTGGGCAGGGGTTCTCCGGGATGCTGTTGTCGAGCCGCTGCTCCTGTGTGATTGTGTTCTGTTCTCCTTGTAGATGGAGGAGATTAAGTTTAAGGACAGAGCAGTCTTCGTGCTGGAGAGAGAGTTAGGGGTGCGAGCCGGGCATGCTCAGAGACTGCAGCTCCAAAAGGAGGCTTTAGATGAACAACTCTCCCAGCTCAAAGAGTCTGACCGGCATCTGAGCAGCCCCAAGCGGGAACTTCCTTATGCAAGTGGTGCAGGAGACGCTTCAGATCATTCGGGAAGCCCCGTAAGCACTTTCACGTGGTTTCACCTAAACAGAGACCAAAGGGCACCAAGTGACAGAATCTTGATGAGTGCTCCCTGGAGCAAGAGCTTTCCCAATGGCCATGCCGGGGAGCCTGAGGCACCCGCTCCGTGCTCCTGCTTTATCCAAACCATTGATTTCAAATCAAACCCTGTCATGGGAGAGCCTTTGCTTTCTGTCGCTTTGTTTCCCGGTCGGTTTGGTTTGGTTGTGTCAGCAGGGGGAAATTTCTCTGTTCTTTCTCTCCTTCTCCTCACTGTACCATGCTCAGCCACCCGCCTTAGTCTGACAGTTTGACACGATTCTGCCAACAAACGATGCAAATGCATTTCTCACCAAGTGATGTATGTGTGCAGCTCTGGAACTGCGAGCACGGGGCTCGGGGGGCAGATGGACGAGGCCAGTTATAGAGGGAATGGGGTGGTGAGAGCATGGAACCCCCACAGCCCCCTGGGATACCTGCCAAGTGCTCTCGCTGTCAGTGGGCCACAAAGTGAATCAAAGACTTCCTAACCTTCTCCTTCCTATTTATTTTCTGCAATATCCAAAACATTCAGTTTTAGTCACCCTTCCACAATGCCTTTTTCAATGTAACTCTGGCCCCCTTCCGCTTTGGCCTTCCTTTGCTCAGACAAACCCCTCAAGTAACTGACCTCGTACCTCTGACATGTGCAGGTTGTCCTCATTGCTGATCCTCATCAAGATTTCTTTTGCAAGAGCCTTGATTTTCTCAGTACAAGTGTAAAATTTATACATGAGCAAACCTATCTATTTCATTCTTTGGCCCAAGCCTCTCCTGCACCTGTTGAATGAGGAACCCTAGACCTCCCAAAAAGTGCCACCGGCACTGTGGGCGCTAATTTGCCTCTTTGAGTTGTATTCAACTTCTGCCAAAGACCAGAACAAGTCCTAGAGAAGGGGAAAGGTCTGTCACATTTGTCAACAGCTGTAACTTCTCTGAATGAGAACACATCTATCTATATCTCTATTCCTTTCTGATTTAATTTAAGCATTTTCACTCAAGTAAAGTGACAAGTGACCCTTTAGGACCCCATAAAGGTCACAGCTTTGTGGAAGAAGAGCTTTTGCAATGGCACAATTTCATGAATTTTCCCCATTTGTACTTCAGTAATTTTAATATCATTTTCTTATGGCCAAGACCTCAGTGAGCAATGTGTCTGAAGCTCTCAGTTCAACAGTGGCATCATTGGAACATGGCCTTCAGTTGGATATTTTCTGTTTCCAAGTTTACCATTTGTGACTTTGCATACGCATATACATATACATACTTCTGCATTTGCATTCTTTGTTACATTTCCACTCCTGACTTTCCGTTGGTCTCATCCTGCAGCTTTCCATTGTCACTTGGGTTCCACTCTGCCCGATAATGTTTTGAGATGTTTGGATATGGGATAAGAAAAAGTTTGAGCTTTGAAAACGTGCTCTGGCGTGTACACTTATGAACAGTTATTTGCAGTTGATCTTTGTTTTAGGAACAGCAGTTGGATGAAAAGGATGCCCGGCGCTTCCAACTGAAAATCGCGGAGCTGAGCGGCATCATCAGGAAGCTGGAGGACAGGAACGCCCTGCTGTCAGAGGAGAGGAACGAGCTGGTGAGGGCAGCAGGGATGGGGACTGGGGGACGTGCTGCCGGGGCCATGCCTTGTCCCAGAAATACCGGGATATTTCTCCTGTGCTGTTTGAAAATCCTGGCTGCGCCTCCTTAGCTCTCTGTTCGGTGCTGTGCCATGTCACACTCCTCTTGGCTTGTATGACAACGAATTTTTGAGGTGGCATTAGCTGGAATTATTTTTATTTCCTTTTAAAAATAAATGCATGCCCCATATGGAACCTTTGTTTCACAGATCGAATATCTCATGAAGGAGGAATGATCTCTTCCCATAGGAAAGCACCAAGAGTTTTTAATCAATTATGCTTTTCACGAGGAGGAAATACTGCTAGTGGGATTGTTAAAGAAAATTATTAATATATTCACTGAAAAAGCTCCAGAGGTGTTAACTCTCTCTTTATCTTGCAGTTAAAACGTCTCAGAGAAGCAGAAAGTCAGTATAAGCCCATTCTGGACAAGAACAAACGCCTTAGTAGGAAGAATGAGGAGTTGTCACATGCCTTACGTCGAATGGAAAATAAATTGAAATTCGTGACACAAGAAAATATCGCGATGGTGAGAGTCTGTGTGCTCCTGGGAGAACAGGGGGGCTGGAACTGATGAGGCTGAGGGGGTCAGGCATCATCCCAAACCTTCTGGTTCCATAGGAAACTGTCCCCACTCCAGCACTTGCTGAGATGTGCTGTACTGTGGAGTGGTTTGTGCCTTGGACATGTTTGGTTTTACATAAACATGTAAAATGTAAAAAACCACAAGACATAGGATATACTTTAGCCTCGAAGACAAATAGCTCTGAAGGAAAGGAATGGTGTGAGCTTTGCACATGTTGATTGGGTGACTGCTCCCTTGGGGGCTGCTCAGCCTCCACATGGGCACAGATCTCCCCATTTCATGCCCCATCCCTGGAAGTGTTTCAGGCCAGGTTGGACAGGGCTTAGAGCAACCTGATCTAGTGGAAGGTGTCCTGTCTGTGGCAGGGGGTAGGACTGGACTGTCTTTAAAGTCCCTTCCAATGCAAATCAGTCAGGGATTCTATGATTCAGCTTTGACTTTCCTGCCAGAATCACCTAGTAATGCCTGGGAAATCTGCACTTGTGACTCTGCCCTTTTTTCCAATCAGAGGAGCAGGACCAGCCAGCACATTTGCAACCTGGATGTGAGACTCAACAAAAGGAGAGCAGGAGAGCTGCCAGAACAGCCATTAGAGACATGCACCACTCACTGTACAGGGAAGGGTTAGACAAGTCCTTTGGCAAAGCCTCCTGATCATTTCCTCATCTGCCCTGTGGTTTTTGGTTTTAGAGGCAAAGAACTGGAGCAATAAGGAGACCAAGCTCCTTAAATGACCTTGACCACAGCCAGGAAGAAAGAGAAGTTGATTTCCTGAGACTACAAGTTGTTGAGCAGCAAAACATCATTGATGAACTCTCCAAGGTAAGATGGAACAGTGCTGCTCTCACAGGAGAGTGACCAAGGGTAGGGCAGAGGAAGCCTAAGCAAGGGGTACTCAGGGTCCTGGGAGCCCACAGGCACAGCAGTGGAACCTGGCAGGCATTTCTGTGCTTAGTGGTAATAAAAGTAATTGATCTGTGGTGCGATGTTTGGAAAAACCCTTTCCATCTGCATTGCACTGGCAGGACAGAACCATGTCTGGTGGCCAGATCCAGCACCTGTGAGAGAAAGTGTCTGAGCTCCTTCAGCTGGAGACATCGCTGGGGCTAAAGATTCCTGTGTACAGAGGGTGGTCTGCAATGCTGGATTAGAGGGTTTGCTTCTTTGTTAATACATTCTCAGTCTCTGGAAACAGAAAGCACCAAAATACTAATACTCCTCCAGAAAATAATTTTCTTTCCTTTCTTTTTAAGCCTGTCCACTTACTGACATTATTTCATTCTTTTTTATCAGACCCTGGAGACTGCTGGCTATGTGAAGAGTGTTATGGTAAGAATGGCATTAACTTCCTCCCCATGTTTGTACACTTTAAATTGCTGTCTGTGGAAAGGAGGCAGAGTATAACAATATTTGTTCTCCTTCCCATTTCTGTTCAGCAGTGAGCTGGCACACTGTTTTCTCAATGTAGATGTTGTATCAACAGTTGTTCACCAGAGAAAAACACACTGGTAGTGAAGAGGAAAGCTTTAATCCCACCACCTGCCCCAGTGGCCAAGAGCCATGTCCAGGACAGCTCTGCCACATGAAAATTGCATTTTTTAACTCAGGTTACCCCTGGCTTTGTGTCACCCACACTGGCCTGTGCTCAGCCCCTGCCCTTGCCCGAGTCATCCCTGTTATGACCAGCAGGGACTTTGTGGAGTTAAGCACTAATAGGTATTGATGGGATGTCCTGTTCCCCATTGCCAAGCAATGAGTGTTCGATTGTCCTCTGCCACTGCTGCTGACAGTGGGATTTGCCATCGGGCTCATGGCAGTGGCACATTGTCAGTGTCCCACAATGTCATCACATCCTTCTACCAGCTGGTTAAAATGAAAGATCTAAGGGTTTTCCCTTTAGAACTTCCCCTCTACAATTCTGGGCTTTGCCTGGATTTGCAGTCTAGAACAGAGACTTTTTTCTCAGTGTTGTAAAAAGTCGACCTGACTCCACAAAGAGGAAGGAGTTCTTCCCAGTGAGGGTGGTGAGGCCGTGACACAGGTTGCCCAGAAGAGCTGTGGCTGCCCCATCCCTGGAAGTGTCCAAGGCCAGGTTGGACAGGACTTGGAGCAACCTGGGCTAGTGGAAGGTGTCCCTGCCCATGGCAGGGGGTGGAAGAAGGTGATATTTAGGGTCCCTTCCAACCCAAACCAGTCTGGGATTTGATGATTCCATGATTTCCTCTGATTGGAAAAAAATGCTGGCAGCAGTAAGTGCTCAAACCTTTTCCCAGGGTCACTAGGAACCTGCAGATCCTTAGAGACAGAGCTGACTCTGAAAGTGCTGAGTTCAAACAGCCCCTGAATTTTGTGCAGTGGGGCTACCGTGTGTGTGTACCTTCCAGAGGCACCAATAGCCACCAGAGCCAAGAGCAGGACCAGTCTCTGCTTCTCTTTCTTGGCAGAGAGAGCAGAGCCTGGGCGTGGGCTGGAGTGCTACAGTCACCCACGGAGCAGCCCAAGGTCTCACTGCATTGTGTTGCTTATAATCAGCTTTATTTTAGTTAGATTTTCATGGACATAAAGAGCAGTAGCTACTTGTATATGCAAACCTGAAAGATGTTGGAGTAAACTAACCCATGCCTGGTGACAGCATGTGACATTCCTGTTTCTTGCTTGCCCAATGGCTCCCAGCAGTGGTGTGGTTAATTTGAAGAGCAGCTCTCTGCAAACAGCTAACACATGTCTCTGGTTCTTGCAGGAACGTGATAAGCTGTTAAGGTTCAGGAAGCAAAGGAAAAAAATGACAAGAATTCCTAAGGTAAAAAGAAAAAGCTTGTACAGTGACATGCTGATGGGCAGTGCTGGTTCTGGGGTACTCCAGGTACCTCAGGGCCACACGGAGGAATGTTCTCCTGAAGGGTATGCAAATGGGTCCTAAGCCTAAATTTGGGTGATGTAGTTCAAGGACATTCACAGACCGTTTTGGGATATTTAGGAAAAATCTGAGAGGGGCAGGGGACCCCTTTGCATTGCACATTCTGAGCCTTTCCATGCTCTAGACTTACCCTGTGGGACTTTGGTGGGATGTGGTTGTCTTAAGAGGAGACAGATTTTATGAATTAACACATCTCAAAATGATCTTCTAATGGCACTGCCTGAAAACATGTGTATGTTTTAAATAATTCATGGTGATGTTTAGTAACATGCAAAAATTGCCCGTTATGAGAAGCCGTGGTTGGAGCTCAGGGAAAAGGGAATGTTAGTTAATGAGAACTTGGCAGGGTGTTAATGTAAATATTAACACTGTAATGGCACAGAAAGGTTTAATGTCAGAGACTATGAGCACTCTGTGATCTACAGATGAAAAATTAGGGTGGGGCTGGAGCTAATTAATCTATAAATAACTAATTGAGGTCGATGGGAGATAACTCCTGCCATCCTGCACATGGCAGGCAGGCCTTCCAGAGAGGGCCACATTCTGTCTCTCTCTGAAAGCTGGGTGGGATTTTGACCAGGGGCCTGGAGTGCCAGGACACAGGGAATGGCTTCCCACTGCCAGAGGGCAGGGTTAGATGGGAGATTGGGAAGAAATTCTTGGCTGTGGGAGTGGTGAGGCTCTGGCACAGGTTGCCCAGAGAAGCTGTGGCTGCCCCATCCCTGGAAGTGTTCAAGGCCAGGTTGGACGGGGCTTGGAGCAACCTGGGCTAGTGGAAGGTGTCCCTGCCCATGGCAGGTGGTTGGAACTAAATGATCTTTAAGGTCCCTTCCAACCCAAACCAGTCTGGGATTCTGTGATTCTCCTTCAAAAGTTACCCACTGCAAATTAAAACAAAAAGCCAAAATCTAGATATGTTTTTGTAAATCATCAATTAAAAATATTTTTTGATCTGTGAAATGTTGTCTTTGGCTTTCAAGCATTTATGGTAAATCTTCTTTTACCACTACTCCCTTCATTCTTTTAAACAAAAAGCAGCTTTGAATGGAAAACTGGATTTCTTCAAACCATAAACACACTGCTGTAGTGATTAAATTCACATTTTCAAATAGAATACTTGTTAAAGATCTTAAGTTTTCATGTGACAGTTGTGATGGCAGGGGGGACATCGTGGTGATGGCGATGGATTAAAAGGCATTTCAGTTCACAGGTCCCACCTTATGCTGAGGTGAACACTCGGTGAAATGGGTGCTTGGCCTTAGAGAAACTGGGAGGAAAATACATTTAAAAAGGCAAGGGCTGTGAGGTCACACACTGTGATACCTAATGACAAATATGGCATTTCAGTGATTTAAATCATTTTAGCTGTTGTCACTGGCATGGGGTGAAAACACTTCTGTGTATTCATGTGTAAAGAGCTGCGCCAGTTCCCAAAGAGCAGCAGAGTGAGAATTCCCAACAGCCTGGCACTGAGGTTTCTCCCAGGTGCCCATGTTCAGATCCCACAGAGGCACAGTTTATCCAGGTGTCCAAGGCCAGTACTGTCCCCAGCTCAGGGGCTTGCAGGGCCCATGGCTTGGCCACATTCCCTGACCTTTGTCTCTGCCAGAAGCCGGTTGTGGAGACATTTTACGGCTACGACGACGAAGCTTCCCTGGAGTCAGATGGTTCCTCTATCTCCTACCAAACTGACCGGACAGACCAAACCCCCTGCACTCCTGAGGATGACTTAGAAGAGGTACTTATCAAAAATCCATGTTATTTTGGTTTGCAAACTCACTGCTAGTTTTTAATGGAATTCCTGGTCTGTTCTATCATTCCTCTCTCACCTCAGACCAAAAAATTAACCATTTGTATTAAATTTGATACTGTGCTTGTTGGTTGGTATCTCTGGAACTCAGGTCTTCAGTAATTTCACAGCTTGTAGCTAAGCTGGAAATGATATATCATAAGAATATTAAATTTACAGCAGGTTTATATGTCAGAGGTCTAAAAAGGCTGAGAAGTCAGACAATCCTTGGGAGGTCTGTTCACTCTGAGCTTGGCTGCAGGTTTGGGCACGTGTAGTTTGGGTCAGATCCTTCTGTTTGCCATTCCGACCTCGGCCCAGAGCAATGAGGTTTGTGTTTGGGGAAGGAGCAGGAAGCATTCCCCTAAAGCTCCAGGGTCCAGGGAAAGGCTGGTTCCTCACTGGATTATGGAGGTTGGGCTGTTCTGGAGCTCTCAGTGCAGAGTACACAAAGGTAATGCAAATCAAAGAGATTATTATTCCTGCTATTTTACAAGGCTTCCCTACAAATGTATTCCTCAGTGTGTGTCAGATCACTGGACCATTACACGGTTCTGGGTTTAACAAGAATCTTGTAACAGGCAGAAAATTGCCACTGATGAGTTGCAGCCTTTCCATGGTGCACTGGCTGCAGGTTCTGTGCTGCCTGTTCACCTGTGCCATGGGCTGTAATTAGATCTGTCAGAGGCAACCTGGACAATCCCTGTCTCCATCATAAGAGATCTGTGATGGTTACTGGGTGTGTGCTGCACTGCAGGAATCTGAATGCATTTGTGAAGGCATGAGCCTGTTTGTTTTTCCTTCCTTTATGTTTTCCCCTGTTCAGCTGGTGGGGAGTTGGTGCCTGTACCCAGCAGCGTAATTTCATTTCATGTTGAGTGAAATATTCCGGCCAGCCTGACATGAAAGCATTTCATGCTGGATATTGTAAGGAGGGTGAAGAAGATGAAGGACTCTTTTCATGTTGCTGTCACCACTTCTACAAGTATTAGCTCTGGATTCGTGTTTTAATAATTGAGTGAGGCTGTCAGGCTTGGCTTCCTCCCCAGATTGGAAACCTTTTGTTGTTTCAAGAAAGTTGTGTTTTCACCTTTAATGTGATGGTTTTCCCTGTTACAGTAAGAAAGGGTGATGCATCATTAGTGTGTTACATGGATGGCAAGTTTTTATCTTTTTAAGGCGGGGGATTATCTTTTTATTTCTGTATTGCATTTTCTGGAAGTGTTTAGGGGGAGAAGAGAAGTAGTCTGAGGGCACATAAACAACATCCTTAGTGCTGTGCTTCCCAAATTGCATTTCAAAAGTGATCATTTTGGCACTTTTTAGAGAAAACATGCCTAATCCACTCTGTGTTTTGGTTGCAGGGCATGGCCAAGGAGGAGACAGAGCTGCGGTTCCGGCAGCTGACCATGGAATACCAGGCCCTGCAACGAGCCTACGCTCTGCTTCAGGAGCAGGTCGGAGGGACCCTGGATGCAGAACGAGAAGTTAAGGTCTACATGGCTTATATTACGTGAACATAAAGGGTTGGAATTGTAAGGGAGGGGAGGGGTCCAATTGTACCTGCTCAGGTTGTTCTCAATCACACCTGCAGCAGCCAGGCTGGGAGTCAGCCAGGGGGGCTTGGCTGGGGGTCTCTGGAGTCTCTGACTCCAACCAGCCTCCCAAGGAAGGGTTTGCTGAGGATCCACCATTGCTGCAGCTGAGTCTTTTCACCTCTGATAAGTTTAAGGGAAATCCAGAGAGAAAATTTTATGGGAAATCCTTGAAATTAAGCTCTTTTTCTATAAAGAACTAGGACAGATAGCCTTAAATGTATAATGCGTGGTGTTTAATTCCTTCTGGGATCTGAGAGATTACATGATTCCTCATGAAATGTTTAGAAGGCTTATAGCTGAGATTTTTTTCTCTTAATTAAATTGCAAAATGCCCTGTGCTGCTCTGCCTGCCCATGTGCTTATGCAGCCCCTGAGGCTCCTGACAGCTGGGCTAAAGTATTGCATTTGTTATGAGTTTGTTGTATGTTCCAAAGAGTTAGAAAGGAGTTCTTGGCTGTGAGGGTGGTGAGGCCCTGGCACAGGTTGCCCAGAGGAGCTGTGGCTGCCCCATCCCTGAAAATGTGCAAGGCCAGGTTGGATGGTGCTTGAAGTAACCTGGGCTAGTGGAAGGTGTCCCTGCCCATGGCAAGGGGTTCAAACCAAACAGCTGATGTTTAACAGGAGAAAGGCACCTGCAGAGCCTTAATTTGATCCTACATCTGTTGTGTGAAGGTGTTATCCAGGAACACTTACAGTAGATCAAGGTGAAATGCATGAAAACTGACATTCCCAGACATATTCCCAGAACTGATGTCTGCTCTGACGTGTTAGGGATTGCACTTGGAATGAAAATCATAGTGAACCGAGATATGCCCAACTGGAAAAGTGACTTGATTTTCATTTTTCCATAGTGAGCAAAAAGAGAGACTAGTGTAGGTCATGCAAACAAGATCATTTTCAGTGTAAATAACACAATAAAGAGCAGAGAAATGGTTTGAGGACAGAAAGTGTTCTATAAAACTATTTAATGAATAAGGCAGCTGATAATAACTGCATTTATTCTCCAAACGTGTAGGAAGGTGTTGTCTATATGAGAAAGCAGGAAGATATAGGTATAGTAAACAATGACACACAGTACAGGAAGACCCTAAATAGGTACTAAACAGGTAAGGTAGTAAATCATAGATAAGGCAGTAAATCACAGATAAGGCAGTAAATCATAGATAAGGTGGTAACGGCACAACAGTCAATGGAATTTGCCATTCTCCAATGTTATATATGTGGGGTCTGCCCTGAGCTTTTTAACTTGCCCCAAATTTAAGGGAACCAGGTGTGCCCAGAACTGTGGCATACTAATTTTCATTTGTTTTCATAGAGAAATGGCTTTTTACACTCATTGTTCCAGAGCAGGGAGGTTGCTGGCTGCAGCCTGCCGTGACCAACCTCTGCTTCACTGATTTGTTAATCTGGACTTAAATCTCAAAATCATTATCCCACCTCACAGACTTTATTTGATTCCTGGCTGATGCTGTGTGCTCAAGTTCATTCTGCCAAAGAACTTTAAAAATCACTTGTTGAAAATATTTGGTGTTTTGAGTATTTTCTGTACCTGTGTTAGCTTTGTTCTTTTGGAGAAATTTGTATTATTTATTGATTCGTTGTTTTTTTTCTTTCTCCGTCGTATCCCACAGACACGTGAGCAGCTCCAAGCAGAAATCCACCGGTCCCAGGCTCAGATAGAAGACCTGGAGAAGGCCCTGGCTGAGCAGGGACAGGTAACACCACAAATGACTCCAGCCCTTGTCCTGCCTCCTTACTGCGGAACCAGAAATGTTCCCAGGTTGCTTCCAGCTTGTGTAGTACTTTTCCAGACAAAAAACAAACAAACAAACAAACAAACCAAAAAGAAAAAATAAACAGAAAATTGTTTTGAGAACTTTAAAATAATATTAAATCATTTCATAGTTGCCTTTCCAGTTTAACCTCCTATTGTTGTTGCCCTTGCTGATAAACAGTGTTCTGTCCCTCACACTAAGAGATTAATTTCCAAATAAGATTTATTTTGCCTGATCTTCAGAAATATGTCATTTGTATTTAGCAAACTAGAAATTTAATAGTAGACACATAGCTGGAAATATCCCCTTTAATGCAAATTTTTGATCTGAAAAAGTTTTTTAATCACTGGAATGTTTCCATTCTATTTGTGTACTACAGACTCCATTAAAATAAGATGGCCAAGTTTAGCTTAAGAAGTTATTTTAGGAAACAATGAAAATACAGTTTCGCATGCAGTGTTGCTCTGTCCTTCTATATGTGAGATTTAGTGAAATACTTGCTGCTGTGTTGGTGCTAAACATTGCCAGCTTCACCTTCTGTGTTGGTCCTTTCCTTCCCAAGGACATGAAGTGGATTGAGGAGAAGCAAGCACTCTACAGAAGAAATCAGGAACTGGTAGAAAAGGTGTTCAATGCTTCTATTTGTATTATTCCGATAATATTTGTAGCTGAAGGGATGCAGAAAGGGCAGTATTTTAATCTGGGTTGCACAGCTCTGTAGCAATAATTTATGTGTAATACAAGATCCTTATAAACCTCTGGGGAGAAGTGGGTTTCCAACATTCCCTGTTGGCCCACACGTGTCTGGTGCGAGGCCATGTGAGGATGGTGGCTCTGGGGGAGAGCCCTGTGTCCCCCCATGACTGGGGTCATGTGTCCCTGCTCATGATGATCCTGGGGTGGGCTGGGACCCCCAGTGCTCCCACTGCCCCCGGGGGGGTGGGCTGAGCCCCCAGTGCCCCCAGCCCTGTCCCAGCAGGGTCAGTGCACAGTGGATCAGGAGTGACTCTGCTAACAGTGCTAAGGACGAGTTGCTTTGTCTCTTTTGCAGATCAAACAGATGGAAGCCGAGGAAGCTCGTCTGAAACATGATGTCCAGGACGTGAAGGACCAAAATGAGCTTCTGGAGTTCAGGATCTTGGAGCTGGAAGTGAGCACGTGTGGCAGCCACGGTCCTGCCCTGGGCTTTGCGAGCCGGGGCCGGAGGCACTGGTGGTTTGGGAACAGGGGTGTCTGGAGAGGGACACACTGCACTGAGTGAAGCCACAGGCCTTGGTACAAAGTGCTAATAAAAGGGGAAAACCCCAAGCCACCAGGAATCAACACTGATATTCACCATAGATTGTTCTGGCAGTGTTACTGCTTAAGTAGTTTTAAGATCCAGAAAATTGGCCCATGCTGTAAATGTGCATCTTACTGTTCTCCTTCTGTCCTGAAAAGGCAAAGAGGTAAAACCAGAATGGATCATCCCTGGGAGAGAAAAATAGAAAGGAATTTTTTTCATTGCCAAAAATGATCACAGTGTTTCACCTCTTGCTAAATCTGCACAGGAGGAATCAGGTAGCCACTGCAGTTACTCCCCTGAGCCTTCTGTTTTCTGTATCCCTACCTGTACAGACAGAACCCGAGAGCTCTTGGAAACTGCTTCTGAAATTCTCCAAGGAGACATTAACAAAGCAGCCACTTACAAACAAAATTTCAATGCAATCTGTATTGTGTATTTATTATGGTATAGTTTTGTTGAAATCTATTGTTGCCCAGAGAAGCTGTGGCTGCCCCATCCCTGAAAGTGTTCAAGGCCAAGCTGGATGGGGCTTGGAGCAACTTGGGATAGTGGAAGGTGTCCCTGCCCATGGCACAGGGTGGGATGAGATGGTGTTTAAGGTCCCTTCCAACCGAAACACTTCCATGACTCTGTGATGTGACTGACGCACCAGAGGGGGTAACCAAGGAATTACTGTCCTTACAGGAGAGGGAGAGACGGTCCCCTGCCATCAACTTCCTGCACGGCCCGTTCACAGAGGGGAAGAGCCCCCTCCAGGTGTACTGCGAGGCAGAAGGTGTAACAGTAAGGGATTCTCCTTTCCTATCCTCCTCTCCCTAAACAAAATCAGACACACTGTGCTGACTCCTGGTTCTCCATTTCTCTCTTGTCAGGACATAGTAGTAGCAGAGCTGATGAAAAAATTGGACATTTTAGGGGATAACGCCGTAAGTGTATGTTCCTTTAATAAATTGTGCATGCTTTGGGGAATACTTGTCCTCGTGTCAAGCGAGCAAGGCCGCCTGGGCTTGGTGCTGCACAGCCTGTCCTGCTCTGTTTGGGCTGCAAGCGAAGCATTTTCTGGCTTTTTAAGGTTTTGTTACCAGCCTGCTGAAGTGCCACACAGGGGCTCAACATCACCATTTTGTTCTTAATATTTCTGTCATTTGGAAAATAACGTTGGTGTTTGGTGTTTTCTGGCCACTGGTCACATGGTTTCTTGATTTGCTTGCTCTGCGTTTGCTTCGCTTTTGCATTTCAGCAGCTGCGTGTTTTAATTTTGTTTAATGACCTATAAAGCCCTGATAGTAACCAGGATATTAAACAAAAGGTAAGCAAATAATAAGAAATTTGCAAGTGTTTTCCTTCAGCAAGTGGCAGTGACTAATCACACAAATGGTTGTGTGCATGGGAGATCCATGTGTCCTTGTGTATCTTCTCCTGTGCTCTCCTCTCTCAGCAGAGCACCTGGGGCTGTGAGGGGCTGAGGAAAGCAGAGCCCTCTCCAGCCCAGGGTCTTAGAGAGCCCTCATCCACTCTGGGGTCCTCCTGGGGGACCCCACCACCTTCACTGGGGCTGCAGAAAGATCTCCACCATTCTCACAGCTCTGCACCCAGGCTGCACCCCAGCTCTCCCTGTGCCTCTGGACAGGTTGGATAACAGGGAAACACCATTCCCAGGGCTGCAGGGCAGCCTGGAAGTAACAAAATTATAAGTACCTGAGGGTGGTGAGAACCTGGCACAGGTTGCCCAGAGAAGCTGTGGCTGCCCCATCCCTGGAAGTGTCCAAGGCAACCTGGGCTAGTGGAAGATGTCCCTGCCCATGGCAGGGGAGTTGGAATGAGATGGGTTTTAGGGTCCTTTCCAACCCAAACCAGTCTGGGATTCTACAGGTCTATCCCTGCTGGACAGCACTGTCACTGTTCCCAGGCTGTGCCTTGAATTGAAGCTCATCCCAGTCACCCTGATCACCACCTTCCCCCAGCCCCGTGGGCTGATGCTGCTCCGGGTCCAGACACAAGCGAGGCCCAGCCGAGGGGATTCCCTTCTCCTGCTGTATCTGTGTCAGACTGAAGTTCGGGATGAAATGCAAACCCCAGTTTCACTACTTTGATTTTATTGAAAAGCAAAAGAAGATGGATGGAATAGCCAACATCTCAACAAATGCTTCCCAAAATCATGGCTTGGCTGGCAAAGTGAGGACTGTGCATGGGATGGACACTGTCTCTTCTCTCAGTGGCACTTTGTGCTGAGCTTGATCTTGTCCTGTGTAGCTGTGTGTTTACTCCCTTTTGGGTAAAAATAGATCCAGTGCCACCTTTTTTATTTGGTAAATATGAGAATTTTAGGAGAATTAACTCTATGTATGATAAGGATTCAGTATGAATACTGACAATGGCTTTTACAACAATGTTGCATTACAATACTGATTTTCTCTGCCTTGGTTTATTGTTCCTTGAACATATTTAATTTCAGATTTATTTAATGCAGCAGTGGCCTAAGTAGTGGGTTAATAACAAGACACTGGGATTTGTTGTAATTGTATTTTGTTTTGATGCAGAACCTGACCAACGAAGAGCAAGTAGTCATCATACAAGCAAGGACTGTCCTCACATTGGCTGAAAAGGTAACAACCAGTGCATCACTCCTCAGTACACATGTGCCTCTCAGAATACACACTGGTGATGTAGATGATGGCTCCATCACAAAACACCACAATGCTTTATGTGGAATTACACTAGTTTTTGTCAAAGTAAAGGTAACATTATGGCAATGCAGACAGACACTGCTTAATTTAAAATAGTACTGAACTAACAAAGCAATGTCAGAAGGTAATGGCCAGGCTTTGAAATACGCCATTTTTTCATCACCAACATATAGAAAAGAAAAATATAATTGTATAGTTAATTTTGCTTTTATTTGAGTACTTGCCGTGTGCTGACACACCGTGAGTCCCAGGGAAGCTGGGCTCACAGGCTGTGCCCTGCTCAGGCTTGGCTCTGCTCTCTGTCTGTGCAGTGGCTCCAGCAGATCGAGGTGACGGAGTCGGCGCTGCAGCAGAAAATGCTGGACCTGGAAAACGAGAAGGTACCGGGGAAGGAGCAGCAGGGGAGGGGCTGGAGGACCCCTGGTGGGGTGTGGTGGTCACTGACAGCCCCTTCCTTGGTCCCCAGGAGCTGTTCAGCAAGCAAAAGGGCTACCTGGACGATGAGCTGGACTTCAGGAAGCAGTCCCTGGACCAGGCTCACAAGGTGAGGGACATCAGTCTTGACTGAGTTATTACACCTCAATTAACTCACCTGGTGTGATGTGTGTGGTCTGTTCCCTGTGGGCTCCCTGTGGAGTATGACAGGCTGAGTGTTAGCCAGATCCTCTACACCCTGAGCTGACAATGAGTTCCTCGTGAACAGAATTCCCTGGATTTGGGCGGCACTTGCAGGTTTAGGAAACACAAGTTTTAATTCACCAGAGGTTTTAGTAAAGGACTGGTAAGGAAATTATGTTTTCAGTAACTTTTCTTTCCCAAATAGATATTTTAGCCTAGACATTTCCTTGGATCTTGGATTACAGCCTCTGTAACCAAAGCAGCTGGAGGGATTCTGGGATTCTATAAGTTTGAAATGAAACTACTCTTAGGTCAGGCGTTTTCACCCACCCCTTCAGTCATCAGCTGTTTTGTTTCCTTCAGTGAGGGAAAGGTTTAATATATATTCACAAAAGACATGAATACATAAATTTTCATCTCTATTTCATTTTTGCAGTTCCGTGTAAACCTTGAGCACAGTTACACTTTCTGAGGAGCAATGAGTATTTAGGGCTGGGTTTGGCTCCTGTTATCTGTTTGTATCTCAAACCATTTGGGGGAGCTTTTACTCCATACACTCTCTGTCCTGTGAGGGTGACTTTTATGACTGATTTTGCCAGACGCTGAGCTGCATCTGGAACCAATGCACAGTGGAAACCCTGGGAACCACACAAGCAGCCCTTACCTGCGGTCTCAGCCTTAACATCTTACAGGGGAAGTTCCCTGCCCATGGCAGGGGGAGGAACAAAATGTTCTTAACATCTCTCTCAACCCAAACCAGTCTGGGATTTTGTGATTCCACGATCTCTTGCAGCACTGAGCTGCCCTGAGAAGCAGTTTGGTGCAGCCAAAGGGTGAATCTGTAGGACTCATCCTCACACTTAAACCCTGACAGCAGAGATCTGCTGGGTCTTGGGTGAGTTCTGAATAGAGCCAGAAATCTGTGTGGAAACTCACAACAGCAGCAGAGTGGAAAAAGCATATGGCATAACTTGAAACTCCTGGGAATGTCATGGAGTATGCAGGAGAGCTCAGACATGGAGCCATTGCTGTGAATTCAGGTGTCCCTCAGCACCCCTGCAGCTCACAGCCATGAGATGGATCTCCCAGTCCAGGATCCCAAATTTACCAAAGGGCCCAACAACAGTTCGGCTCCTCAGCTCTGCTGCTCATGGGGAAGGAGTGAGTGCAATGACTCTGTGCAGCCCATGCAGAGGGGGCAGAGGGTTATTTGGTTTTCCTGTATTCTTTGAAGGCATCACACACTGGGCTTTGCTCCCAGGCACAAATGCAGCCTGAAAGCAACAGAAAGCTTTGTTCTGCCCCACAATTCGAGTGGCAAAAGCTCTTCTGCTTTATAAAATTTGCTTCACTTCCATGTTTCTTTTGTGCCCCTGGAGATGGGGAGCTGCTAATCACCATCCCTCCTGAACGGGAGCCAACAAGATTACCAGCCGGAACCGCTAATCTGTCTGCACGGTTCTCACTCCAGTGGCTGCTGGAGGGGATTCTGCTCCAGGAAGCACTTGGCTCACACTGCTGCTGCTCTGGAGACAGGGAATGTGCCCAGGCCCAGCAGTTTGGGGCCAAGAACAAACCCATGTCTCAAGTAACAGTGTTTTGTTAGGACAAGGTTAGTGAGGGTGTTGGGGTTGTTTTATAATGGGAAAGCAGAATCTTCTGCTGAGATCTGATGTGATCTTCCCCACGGAGGTGGGTTATCATCAGTGCTGTAACTTCTGCCAGGGTGTCACTGTCCCTGTGAGTGTGTTCTGCTGTCCTGGCTCTGCTAAGCCATAGTGAGGAAACACCACCAGCAGCCTTGGGTGGAGAAACATGATTTTGAACTGAGCTGAATTATCACAACAGACCCTGGGGGGCTTTAAAAGCTGTGTCCCCAGTCTGGCACTTCAGGGCATGAGTTAGTGGTGGCCTTGACAGTGCTGAGGGAATGGTTGGACTTGATGGACCTTGAGGACTTTTCCAGCCACAAAAATTCTGTGATTCTATTGCAGTGGGGTTCTTCTGAGACCAGGGAAAGCTTTGCAAGACACCACCACCTCTGGAGAGGCTGTGCAGAGATGCCATCAGTTGCTGTCCTTTGTCTTGCTCTGTATCAAACTTGCTGAAAAAGATTGCAGCTTGCTTTTGGCTTGTCTGAGGGAATAGCATTTGTCTTGGATTCCAAAGCAGAAGACATTGTCTGGCAAGGCCACCTGCCCTAGGAGGGTGCCAAGCTCAGTGACCCTGGGGAAACACTGCCAGCCCATTTCCCACGCACTTCTCCATCTCGGTGAATCTGGAGGGCTCATCCGCCTGTGTGAGGCGCCCTTTCTGACACAGTGAAGGCTCTGCAGCCTGAGACTGCAGGAACAGAGCCCAGCTACCAGACAGGTTCATTTCCTTGAGCATGGAGCCTCTCAGAGCTGAGAGCTCTGCCAGAGGAAGGGCTGGGAATGCCTTCCCACAAAGCATTTCAGCTGGTTGGTACAAAATCTGCACACACACAGCAGGGAGTTGTTCCTTCCTGGCGGGAGCATGGACTGGTCCTGCCATGTCCTCTGCTGCTGTGAACTGGAGAGATGGGAAAGAGGAACTGAGGGACTGAAAACTACGTGTAAAAAGTATCTGTAACTCACAAAATGAGTCTTCTTTGAATGTCCCTTCTCCCTTTTTCCTTCTCCCTATTCCCTTCTCCCTTTCCCCCTTCCTTTTTCTTTTCCTTTTCCCTTCTCTCCCCACAGCCATCTCCCATCCCCAGGAAGGATAAGCTGACTCCCACACATGTATGAGGGGCACACTGCACTGGGCCCAGAGCTGTTCCAGTTCCAGTGCTACTCAGAACCCCATGGGATAAAGGCAGCCTGAAGTATTTTCCCTTTGGATTGAGTTTTACACGCTGTCCTGTGTGGGAGGCTCAGCACAGAAACCCCTCCACTGCTCCCACTGCCTTACCTGGATGTTCAGTTCCTCACAAACTCCTCACCCCACCAGGGACAAGGTCGAGCTGACAGCCTTATATTGTTTTTGATTAGCAAATTCTGGAATTAGAAGCCATGCTCTATGATGCCCTGCAGCAAGAAGCTGGAGCCAAAATTTCCGAACTTCTTTCAGAAGAGGAGAAGGAGAAGTTGAAGAGCGCCGTGGAGCAATGGAAGCGGCAGGTGATGAGTGAGCTCCGGGAGAGGGACGCCCAAATCCTGCGGGAAAGGATGGAGCTCATTCAACACGCACAGCAGGTGGGCACAGGGGCAGGACATGGTGGGATCCAGGGTGGGATGGTCCCTGTGAGCACCAGCCTCTGCTCCTAGAGCTGTCCCACCACTGGCTGGTCCTGGGGCAGATGTTGGTTGGCCTTGGATAACCCTGCACACGGGGCATCTTGGTTTTCCTGACCTCGTCACACACAGTGACATTCACTGAGGACTCACCTGCAGCTTAATACCCAATGTATTTTTGGTAGAAGCACAGCACATCCAATTTATATCCCCCAAACTAATGCATCTTCTGGGTACATCTGTTATTTGGTTGGTTAATAAATATTTTTTTATTTGAAATCTGACAGAGAATTAAAGAGCTAGAAGAAAGAATTGAAGGCCAAAAAAGACAAATAAAAGAGTTAGAGGAAAAGGTAAGGTCATGCAGCTGGGACAGCTGCTGTGTGTGCACATGACCATTATTCATTTCACCTGGGCTAAGGAAATGTCCTTAGAGAGCTCGTGTGTGCAGTGCAGAGAGAAAGTGGGAGAGCTCCAGGAAACCAGTTTGCACTTGGATCAGTCCCTCTGGGAAGGACAGGTTGACTGGCTAAATTGAATCGTTCCTTCTGCTGTCCTTCAGTGAAGTCCATAACACAGGACTTGGCAGAGATGGGGGTCCATCCACCCTGGGATGGGAGAGAGCGAGGGTTGAGGTCAGCAGGTGCTCTGGGGAAGGAGCCAGGATCTTTGCTCCCTCTCTCCCATCTCCAGCATCTTCCCGTGCAGCTGCATGGACCAGCCTTTCCCAGCAGGAATGAGGGGCCTCGCTCTTGTCCCCTCACCTGCAGCCACAGCCGTCACTGCCACCTCAGTTCCTGTCATCGGCCTTTCTCCAGTCAGAACTGATGTATTTGACCCCAAAATTGCCCTCAGCTGAACACACCCATTTCCAGTGACATGGCCATGGCACAGCTTGGTCAGGGCCAACAGGGCTGAGCTGGACTTGCACCTGAGACTGAACCCAAACCTCATCAGGGTTGGGTTTGGGGGGTTTTGAGGTGTCAGAAGAATTCAGATGATGTTTTCCCTGAGCCTGTGGCTGTGACTGGGCTGGATTCAGGAGGCAGGGGATGACTGTCACCAGTCCAAGGGACAAAGGGGCTCTGGTGAGCTGAGTCGAGCCCCGAGCCCTTGGACCCAACTTCACACTCCATATTTCCTCTCACCTGGGAGTTTTGTTGCACTCTGTCTGTAACCACAGCTTTATCTCAGCTAAACACACTGTAAACTCTTAATCTCTTTCTTCTCTTCCATTTTTTCCTCTCTTCCCTCCCCTTTTCAGTTTTTATTTTTGTTTTTATTTTTCTCTTTAGCTTTCATTCTTTGGTCATAGCCCTTCAGGCCACATGCACAAGGTAAGCCCTCGGGTCACCTCTGGTCTCTCCTCTTTTTCTCATAAAGCATCAGAGCCCTTCCCTTGCTGTATTGGCAGGATTGGAGGGTCTCCTGGGCACCCCAGAGAACCTAAAAATGGAAACCTCCAAAGCCTTTAAAAACCACGAAATCTGGACACCAGCAGAAAAAATCTTGTCAAATAGAATTTCCTTCTCTAGGGGGAAGGACAAGGAAAAGGAAAAATTCAGCAGGCTTGAAAGGGAAACAGGGAAAACAGCCATTCTATGCTTATTCGTGACTTCATCAGAGGTTGCTCAGCTGATCCTTGCTGGAAATCCATGGAAGCCTCAGCCCCTCTCCTTGCATGGATGGGGTCTGACCTGCTCACAGCCAGGGAGCTTGTCCTACCTCCAAGACAGCAACCAGAGGGGTTTGGGGAGAACATGGCATTTATAAGGGTGTGTTCCTCCAAGCATCGTGCCACAGGGCCCTGGGTATTCCTTGAATCCCCCTTTTCCCAATGTAAATAGGAGATAAGTTGCCCAACTTCTGTTTGTGCTGCCAGAAATGACCATGGCATAGATGGCATTGAGGAAAATGCTCCCCACGCAAATGGAATATAACACAAATCCTTTTTTATCAGTGCACAATTCAAGAAATAATTATAAATAGAACTTAACAGAAGTTTTGTGTGTGTTGTTTTTGCCCAGATGGGCTTTTCTTTGATCCATGTTTTTATATCTTGTTTCAGCCTACTGAGAGAGCTACAGCTGCTCCTGCTGTTATTCCCAGGAAGACAGCCCTGCTTCCTGAGACCGAAACAGAGACATTGCCCTTTCCACCCCCCCAGATCTCTCTCATACTTTGCTACTGGCAATGGAAGGTGCAATCCTTGTGACCCTTTCAGACTGGGGCTGGACCAGGGGGTGTGGAGATCCCTGCACAGACCACATCCACACCACTGAAATCCCTGATGGAGCATTTGGAAAAGGCAGAACTAAGCTGACAACGAAAGCCAAAAACTCTCCTCCTCCCTCTCCTACAGCCACAGGCTCCTTCCCCACGTCCTGGCTCTGCTGCTTGAACTAACCTCCAGTGGAATCCTGGCTCTGCTGCTGGACACAGCTCTTGGCTCTGTCAGGAGCAACAGAACTAATTCAGATACACTGAATTATTTTGGTTCCCTGCTAAGCAGGTGTCAAATTGCTTCTGTGTAGAAGTGCTCATGTCCTGTTTGTATGTCACACGTTTATATTTGTTATCCATAGCTCTTTAAAAATCTCTTTTGAAAGAAGACTTTAGGAAGAGTTCCAGAGGAGTAGCTCGTGACAAGATGAATAGGAGTGAAAATGAAGTGGTTTGTTCCAAGGTATTTCTTTGTAACAGAGGGTTTGTCCCATGGTTTGTTGAATATCCCAAGAGCCCAGTTTTAGGAAAAATCATGAAGCTACATTCAGGAAATCAAGCTGTAATTTTTTTTTTGAGTTTTCAGAAAACCATGATGAGCAAAATGACACAATAATTTATAATTTGCTGTCCCTGAGTGATGATAAAAGGCTAAACACTGTCCCAGCAAAAAGTTCAACCTGGGAAAGAGTGAACTAAAACAATTATCCCTGATCCACATGTGCTGGGCTGGGGGAGGCAGCAAGAGGGAGCAGAAGATGTTGTCAACTGGAAGATGATGTCAGCTGGAAAACGTCCTCACCTTGGGGAAAGGGAGCACAAATCCCACAGATCCCAAGCCCAGGAGGCTGGTGCAGGAACCAGAAGGGAAAAGGAATCCTCTAGAAAAACAGCTGAAGAGAGGAAATCCAGAAGAAATTCCAGACTGTCATAGACCACATGGGATCTGCAGCTGAGCACAGAAACCCCAGGGCTGTGGGGCAAGGCCAGGAACAAGGTCCTGTTCACAGCCATGGCAAAGGTCCCATCCCTGGGAGCACAGGGCAGGAAGGAGACAGAGCTCCGGGCAGGTAAGACAGGCTGGAACTCCCTTATTCTGGGTTTCTGTGAGCTCTGGAACTCCCTCACCTGCTAGTCTCTCTCATTTGGGTTAAAATGCTTCAGATGATAACAGAGAAAACATTGAATTTGGTATTGAAATTACCAAAGTCCTTATTTAAACATCATTAATTTATCTCTATTTTACTTCTGTAATTTAGGTGTTGAATTTCAGTGTGATATAATCACAAATGCTGACTTTATGCTTTTAGATCGGTGGTGACTCAACACAAAATTACTGGGGGGTAATTAAATACACTGTCAGATTTGTGTGGACAGCAAGCAGTTGAACTGCTTTTAAAAATACATGTTTTAAATGCAGGAGATGAAAATATTTTTCATTTTACATTGAAAAGACAAATAGCAACCAGAAAAGTGTTTAAATTCACAATTTCACTCACTTTTTTCCTGATTTGTGCTGGTAAGGAGTTACTGGTAACCACAATGGGGACAGGGGCAGTTGCACTGTCTGAGGGTCCTGTTTTTAGGATTATTGAAGGATCCAGGGATATTTGAGGGGAAACTGAACCTGGCTAGGCAGCTGACAGGTTTCAGAGCATGGTCCCAGTGCTCTGTGCCCTTTGGTGTCACACCAGAACCCCAGGGGCTAGACTTTCCAGAGCAGTGAGGTCAGTGAGATCTGTGAATTCAGTAACCGAAAAAAGCCTTTAACCCCTCAAAGGAGGAAAATAAAAATGCTTTGGCTTGTAATTAATTAGGGCTTTCTGAAGTGTCTGTTGGACAACTTCTCAACAGGAAGTTAGATTTCAAGTAAATGTTTTCTTTATTAAGAATGTTTTAACAAGAACCACTGAAATCTCCCTGAAGTGAAGAAGTAGAAAGTCTTTTGGCCTTCTGGGCATGACCCTGTGACCTTTTTTCTCAGGTGCCCAACCTATTCTCTCAGCAGACCCAACCCCAACCCCTCTGTGCCCAGAGTCCTGCCCCAGCCAAGCCCCGCACGCACCAACCTCGGGGCTTGGAGCAACATGGTCTATGGAAGGTGTCCCTGCCCAGGGCAGGGGGTGGAACTGGATGAGCTGTAAGGTCCCTTCCAACCCAAACTATTCTGGGATTCTCTGAAGTGTGGAATAGGAATCAAGGGTGGGTGTGCTCAGGGTGCTGGGGCAGTGTGGGACAGCGGTGTTCGAGGTGACACAGGCACAGAAGGCCAGGCAGGGCTCAAAGTGCCTTTGACTGGTTTAGTTTGCAACTGCTTAACTTCTCAGCGTGCTTTTAATAATATTTTGATGTAAGTATTTGTGCTTGTCTAGGTACAAAAATATTTGGGTTAGAATGATGCATAAATAGAAATATGAGCATTTGTATAAACACAGATACGTGCAGGCACTGAGAAAGCTGCTTTATAAAAGCGTTATTTACGCACCAAATTTATGCATTCATTAAGCACCAACTTTTAATTCCACTACAATTTTAATCTCTCCTGTGGGTTGAAGGGAACAGCAGCCGGGGGGGGGGAAGGGGGGGGGGGCAGGGTGTCCCCATGGCAGAGAACCCATCAGCAGGGACCCCACTGGAGGGTGCTGCAGCCTAAGGAAACTGGGAATTGTGTGTCCTGCAGGATCATAAACTGCTGCTTTACAGGCTATTTTATTCTTATAAGCAGTTCTAGGATATTATTTTATTTATTTTTAGTGTGTGTTTAAGTAATTTTGGAGACTCCCAGGGATGGGTAGCACTCGCCTATATCCAAGTAAATAAGTTGTCAGTTACCTAAGAGAAATTTGTATAGGTATTAACTCTTACATTTATAGGAGAGGCTTGAGCATCCACATTTTTTTCCTTGATTATCTCAGTTTAATTAAAACCCCAACATTACTTATAACTCCATTCTATATTTGTTTATTCAAAGGAAATAACATCTGGGATGTGCTGGAGCCCAGATCTGCATCAGGAAAATCTGTGCTTGATGCATCAGCTTGTATTGTGTACTGGAATACTTTAGGAATTCAGCTGCACATGCCCAAGCACACATTCCATCAATCCTACATGAACTCTGGGGGTTACATCCCAGCACTGATATATCCGACCCAAAGGCTTTCTGGCTCGGGGTGCAAACCCCTGAGCCCCTGCAGGTCATCAGAAGGAGACCTGTCCCTTGGGCTGGAATTACCCAGGACATGATGCTGTTGGGTTTCAGATGATAGTTTTCCCTGTTCCCTGTTTTTTGTTGCCTAGGATCCCCTGTCCTTTTGCACCCCCTGGGCTGCCCCAGCCCAGCCACCGCTCTGTGAGACGTGGACACGGACCAGGCCATGCCCTTTACAGCTAAATGTGGTTATCAAATATGATATTCTGTGTGTGCGTGTGAGTGGGCCCACAGTGGGAGGGTGGAGAGCACAGAGCCTGGCCTCGAAAGTGTCTGTAGATGCTGCATCTGAGGGGAAGGAGTGTTTGCCCATCACTGCCACACAATATCTTCTGTAAATAAATTCCTTCTGATAAATGCACACAAAGTGCTGCCTCTTACCAACCTGGACTGACTGACACAGATAGAATTGGAAAGACAAAACTAGATCTTGTGCCCCCTCTTAAACACTCCCTCCCTGGAGAAGGGTCACACCTGAATGGGATCCATTTTGACTCGTGGCTGTAAAGGTTTCCTACTAGTAACAGAAGATGTTGCTATAATTACAGTTTAATTACTTCAATCTGAATTAAAGCGTTGAAAATATTAATATTAAATTATTATTTTCAATGTTTTCAGTGATAGAAGGATGGAAAGAAGAACATGGCAGGGGGTTGGAATGAGGTGATCTTTCAGGACCCTTCCAGCCCAAGCTAGTCTGTATTCCATGATTTTGACAACAGATAGCAGGTGCAGTGGGATGGGGGGCATTTCCCCAGTGGGAGCCCACAGAGCTCCAGGGGGGGCACCTCCTTCAGCACTGGTTCAGGCTCTGTCCATGTGAGCTTCTGTTTTGTAGATAATTCCTTTTCTTTGAATCACATTATATATTGATCTGTCGAACAATAATCAAATTGTTCTGTGTTCCTGGTGTACTCCAGCTGTCAGCAGAGGTTGGGGTTTTTTCGAGGTCAGCAGCACATCTTTCCAGAGAGGATCCACAGGGGAGATGAGGAGCTACTGGAGCTGAAATTCCCTGTAAGGCTTCATCAGCAACCCCATGTGTGTGAGCTCCTGCATTCTGGAAGGGGTTGGAAATTACTTCCCTCACAGGAGCCCTAATGAGCTGCATCATTAGAATGCTAATTGGCAAATCTTTGCTGTGCAGGGTGACCCCAAACATCTTTGTTTAAAGTGAAGTGTAGGGGAAATTCAGGCCATCAAGGAGACTCCCACTGAGCAAAGGCATTCCTGGGAAGGCACAGAGGAATTGGCTCAAAAGCTTTTACTCCCTTTTACTGTGCTGTAAATCCTGTGGATTTCTTGTTCTCGGTGAAGAGCAAGATTGGGCTCAGCAATAATGAAGAGATTTCCAGTGGGTTAATAATTGTCAATTTATATAAAAGCTTAAGAGTGTCTCCTTGCTTGGTGTTTCTGCTTCGCTGTCTCAGGGACTGCTCCAGACTGAAATGCACAGAAATGACAATGTCAGTCTGAATTTATGGATGAGACGGGATGAGATGGAGGCCCTGGGGCAGGAGGAACATTGCTGGTGCTGAAGGACAGCTAAGCCAGGTCTGAGGCAGGGCTGGAGCTCATCCCAGAGCTCTGGGCTGTGTAGAGCCTGCTCCTTTCTGGTTTGCCAAATCCCACAGGAAAACACTTTGTCACCGACTTGCTGGGGTTTTGGTTCTAAGCCAAACATCTGGTTTATTGCAGCAGGAACTTTTGGTTGTGCTTCCTGGGCAGGTTCAGAGAGGGCAGGACCTGGAACCAGCCTTTCTTTTATCCTCTCTATGACCAAGCAGCCCCATTCCTGTGTTGTTTTAGGGATATCACACACAGCACAGAATCACAGACTGGTTTGGGTTGGAAAGGACCTTAAAGCTCATCTTGT